ACCCCAAACCCTAAAACCCTACTCCGCGGCCAGGACCACGTTTTCTGCTTGTGGCTCTGGGCTGGCTCGAGAAAGCAGGTATCGCTCGACCGGTAGCTCCTGCAGCCATGTTAGGGGTCCGGACATCGGGAAATCTCCGCAAATATGGGGATTATAGGTTACATATTATATATTGGGATATATTGGGGATATATTGGGATAATGGAAAATAAAATGGAAACTGCTACACTGCAAGTCTGGGGCTCTTGAAGCAGAGGTTTGGGGTTTCTCACAAGGCAAGGGGCATGTTTGGCATCAGCATTGGGATTTGGATCCTGCGTTTTTAAGTCCTTTCCCCTTCAGGCCCAGTTGAAGTAGTAGTACACTTAGCCCTAAGAAAGGATAGCTCAACTTCTCCCTATGCGTAAGGCCTCCGCTAATCCCGTCCCCGCCAACTCATACCATGGTAGGGAGATTCGACTCCTAGGAGGGGGATAGTCCCTAAACCCTGAACCCCAAAACCCCTAATATTTCGAGCGCAATCCTTGCCGTCGAAGTCCCAGGGAATGGGATGACAGCAGGACTCGGCTTGCTCCCGTGGACGTCCGGACAGGAGTACCTGGCAGAAAAATTGAAAGTATAAAGAGTTTAGGGTTTGGGCCCGGGGGTTGTATAGGGATGTATGGGAGGACCTGGATCCCGTTAAAGGGGACATGGGGTCCATTTAGCCGATATAAGGATAGATTTTTGTTGACGGTTTCCCAAAAACATGATTGTCCCCCAACACTGGAGAATCAAACAGAAAGACAATGGAAGCTGAAATAGAAAGTGGGATTACACAGTGGCCTTAGAGAGTCCACTCCGAGCCCCTTTCTGGGAGTCACCAGAATCAAGTTTATACCCTACTGATGGAAACTTCGCTACATCCCCTGCAAACTAAGACATGGAGATTTCATGGAACCTCACAGAAGGCACTGTGAAGACTACAGCCCTGTGGAACCCAGGCTACATGGGTTTCATGTTAGTTTAAGGGAGGGAGTGTCTCAAACTGCGGGGGCCTTCAAAAACCTCAAGTATATGCATGTATGTATTCTTTACGTCTAGAGGGCTGCAAGAGAATCATCGGGCTCCCCATAAAGAACTTTCCTAGAATTGTGCTAGGAAACTCCCATATGAGCTATAGTCTAAACTCCTAGTATCCCCCTTCACAACCCATAAAATGCTCCCTTATATAATACCCTATATAACTCACTTTAAGGAGTTTAGACTGTGGCTCGTATGACTCTGAACATCCAGTTGACGATGGAGGAATGATTTTGCGACGTATCCGTGCTCATAGGGCACATGTGGCTACGAGGGGCAAAACGCAAGGCTGTGACCTTCTCTTTGCGACGCTGACTGTCGGTAATGATCGCACGCACCATCAGAATCTCAAACCTGAAGAACAAAGGCCACTAGGAACCCCTACGTACGGGTAACCCCTTTTGTGAACCCCATCTACAGGGCATTTGCTGTCAACCGACGAGACAACCGCTCCCTGATTGACGACCATATGACTTATGCTTGAATCTGTGCGAAGCGAGCTGAGGCTTTTCAGAAACCCTGATACGCCAGTATCCGGCAATCCTTGCCTTGCCTTCCAAAGCCTGAACCCCAAAATCCAACCCTCTACCCCCGAGATTTCAAACCACCCAAGCACTAAAGCCCTTTGACCCTAAGCTTCCCAAGCACCTGAAACCACGATAGGGTTTTTGGCACAGGGTCCCTAAACCCTAAACCCTAAAAACCACAACCCTAAACCGCTAAAACCGTAAACACCACAGCCTAAAGCCTAAACACTAAACCCTATACCCCTAAACCCTCAACCCCTAAACCCAAAACCCTAAAACCCCAAACCCTAAAACCCCAAACCCTAAACCCCTAAACCCTACGTGAACCCCTAAAACCCTAAATCAGGACTAGCTCGAGGCACCAAACCTTTGGCCACTGGGCCGCCGGTAAGCTGACCTGGGCTGCTGTTGAAGAATATACGTTTGGGTTCCCAAAATTAGAGGTACATTTTGGGTGTATCTTTTTTAAAGGATTATGGGGGTATATAGGATTTATATAGGGTTTAGGGGTTTCCCAAAAATTAGGGGTACCTTTTGGGAGGTCCCCATAATAAGGATTATAGTATTCTGGGTTCTATATTGGGGTCCCCCTATTTAGGGAAACTACCATTTCCTGATCACAGTACGGGTATAGAGGAAATATCGCTTGCATACGAGAGTAACTTAATTCCAGCTCCTTAGAATTTACACAGACCTCTATGTAACCTCAGTTTCCATTTCATGCTACACTTGATTCTCCACCATGGTAACTTTTACGCTGAACCCTAAACTTCCCCAAACCTCAAGCCCTAAACCCCAAACCCTAAACTAAACCCTAAGCCCTGTAAATCCCCAAATCCTAAGCCTAACTTATAGTTCCCCTTAAGTAGATAGAATGTGGTTTTGGGTATACTATAGTAAGATCCCCATATAACCCATATTCTATCTACTTAAGGAGGATTATAACCCTAAACCCTCAACCCTAAATAGTAGCTTCCATTTTCTTTTCTACTATCCCTATATAACCCCAATAGAACCTTAATATTCTACCTACTTGAGGGGGAAACCCTAAACCCTAAATGCTAAACCCTTAATCCTAAATCCTAAACCCCAAACCCTAAACCCTAAAGCTTCTAAACAGCAACCCAAAGGCGGCACCGGAGCACTCCACAGCGGCTGTTCACCAGAAGGGAAGCCTGGTTCCAAGAAATGCAAGAAGGGGGGTTTAGGGGTTTAGGGTTCAGGGCTTAGGGTTTTAAGGCTTAGGGGTTTGGAGTTTAGGATCTTAGGGTTTAGGGCTTAGGGTTTCAGCGCTTAGGGGCTTAGGGTTTTAGGGTTTGGGGGAGACAAAGAGGATTTTGGGGCTCAGATTTTAGGGTCTAGAATTTAGGGCTTAGGTCTTTGGGGTTTGGCGTTTAGAGCTCAGATTTTAGGGTTCAGGGCTTAAGTTTAAGGGTTTAAGGCTGGGTTTCGGGGTTTAGGTTTAGGTCTAGGGCTTAGGTTTTGGGGATAAGGTTCCGTAGACTCTATACATCTATAGAATATAGGGAAGGTCCCCGCTGAAGGTTCGTGAGCCGTCATGGGTGATATGGCCATATAGATGGCAAAGGATCAATCGGGGAACTGCTGGAACAAGGGCCTCAACCAGTGCTCACAACTGTTCCGGCACGGATGTTTACTGTTGTATTTTTTGGGCTTCCGCGATATGTCTGGCACAAGAGATCTGATGCAATCAGCTCAAGGCAGAGTTCCCCCCAACAAACGTTTGCATCTGGAATGCTTCCAGGCGCACAAACGCAGCATCCTCAAAGCCTGAATGCAATCAACTGGCAATAAAGAATGGCCTCCCAAAATTCCAACCCATCCCTGGTATAAAGATGTGCTGTGGTCTTCACATGGTTTACGATCAAGTCAGATGTGTTCTCTGCCCTCGAGACAACCTGATCAATGTAGAGCACTTCCCTGAACCTTACAGGCTCATGGGACTTAGTATATAACTGCTTTTAGATGGGGTCTTAACCCCACTGGGCTAACTTGTATGAGTCCGCTTATGGGAGCCCAGTGATAAGTAGCCACTAAGTCCCATCAACCTTCACAGAGGCCCTGAACCCGAACCTAAACCCTAAATCCTAAACCCAAGGGCCGGGCCTCACCGACCTCCAGGATCTCTCCTATAGCAGCTTCTTCTTCCTCACTCAGGAGCAAGTTGCTAGTGGTTAGTAGGAAAACAGGAATATAGTCCCCCTTAAGTAGATAGACTATGAGGTATACAGGGATCTTATCATAATATACCCGAAGCCATATTCTATCTACTTCAGGGGGACTATAACCCATAATATAGCCCCTGTAGAGTATATTCACGTATTCATTAGTACCACCAGCAAGATTAAGGTTGGGTGGGGGTCAGATTTCTTGGCCACAAGTACTTGGACGCTAGTGGCACTCCTCATCATCATCGTTCGCTCAGTGCCCTGGACCCTGAACTAACCGCTTACAGTTGTGGTTGCGCGTTTTCCAACTCGAGTTTCCATACTGGCCGGGAAAAATGCATCCTGCTAATCTTGGTAAAGCTATATCTACCTTCAAAGTTAAGGGTTATCCGCTCAGCTACTAATTTTTGGCTGCTCATGAGCTTTGAGTGGCCGTCGCATTGTCAAGCCTAAGATCCTTATGCAGCCTTGCAAACGGGTCATGGGAAGTTGAGGAAATTTCCAGGTGGGGAGTCACCAGGTGGGTAACCTTTCCAGAAAGCTTATGCGGGGAATTGCACCATTTGCTTTTAAGCCCAGGCCAAGCGTCTCCTGAACAGAACATGTCTTCGTTTTTACAGCTGAACATCATCACCATATCATGAGTATCCAGTGCTTAGGCTTTGGTAATCGGAAGTCCTAATTCTGCACAGTGTGTGGCCGCACTTGCAAGCTGCCAACATCGCAGGAGCATTGGACAAGGAAACAAGGAGGGTGGGGCTCCAGGAGCCCGTGAACTGCATGTTGGGCTTGCTTGCAGGATCATCCCAGACCCCCTAGAGAATAGCAACAATGGAACCTTTCAAGAACCTTCCAGTCTTCCGAATGTAGTAAAAGCTCCTTCTTTGGGGGTCTCCATCTTTTGGATTCTTTAGGCTTCGATGCTGCTAGACTTTTATTGACCCACCCCGCCCTAAACCCCAAACCCTTTTCTTACTGGTTCATAGTAGGGAATCAGAGAATAGAACCCCAATATGATCCCTATATAGTATATTCCCATGTTCCTACTAAGCACCAGAAAGTTTTTCCCCAAGCCCTTTTGCAACAGGCTTGTATCTCACTCCTAGATGGCCTCCCCGAACTCCGCTCAAGCTAGGCCCGAACACCCGAACTCCGATCACTGCACAGGCCCTAAACCCTAACCCTGAACCCCTCCGGTCTGAACCCTAAAACCCTGAACCCCAGGCCCGGAACTATGTGAGAGAAAAATTTAGGGTTGACGATTTTTCAATATATAGGGCTTGTATAGGGATGTAAGGACCCCAGAGACCCCAGACCCTAAACCCCATACGCAAACCCCAATCTCCTCAACCGAAATCCCCAAGGCCTGGCTGTCCAGGCAAAGACTATCAATAGCCAGCGCGATGGCCTCGATCTTGCTGGTTGTTAGTAGGGGGTCAGGGAATGGAAAAGGAAATGGAAACAACATGAAACTACTACATCATTCAAATCTAGGGTTGACGTTTTGTGAAGGTGTAGGGATTGCATAGGGATGATGTAGGGATACATTATACCGATACTGCAGAATCACAGGGGAAAGCTAGAATTAAGGCTTATGTACGGGTTATACTGCTTACCTCTGGTCAGCAAGGAATGAAGGATTGGAATACAGCATGGCAAACGACAATTCCGGGTCTAGTAGGGTTGTGGGAATTCCAGCAAAAGGAAATGACCCTTTAGGCCTTAAGCTTGAGAGATTAGGAAAGAAATTGAGTTGCAAGCTTCAATATGGGTAGTTCCCAAAATGAGGGTCCCATTTTGGTACCCCTTACATATTAGGTGCTGCAATATAATCCATAAGCAAAAGGGGCCCATAATTCTGAGAACAACCCATATACTTCGGGTTTGCATAATCCCTTGCCCCATTCCCTACTAAAAACCAGTAAGTGGTAGCGCACGCACTGAGCTTCCCATTGCGCCCATTGTTGGCCCCAAAGCAGATTATCTTGTATTCTTCCCGTAAGTACTGCACATGAGCTAATGTGGGGTCCTGATTAGTGTAGGGGGACCCCGCCCCCCACAACAAAATAGGTCCTTAATCAGTGTGGGGGCGGCCCAACGAATCTGGATCCTAGGTTTAATCTAAATTCAATAGGAGGGACCAGGATCGGCTGGGCAATAGATCAAAAGGGTTTTAGAAGGCATTTAGAAAGGCTTCTATTGAATTAATATTCTCAGAACTTTTTTTGTCGGCCGCGCAACTCTGCACCATTAAAGGCCCCCAAAACATTTTGGGGGAGGCTAAACATTTTCGGCGAAGCTTCGCACAATTTAAGGCTCCCCACGCTAATGAGCATCTAACATTATGGTCCAAACTGCTAGAACCGCTCTTAATAAAACTTCTAGTAGTCCCCCATGTAATCCCTATATAACCCCCTTTACGGAGTTCAGACTATAGCTCCATTAGCCCTGTCATCCCCTCCGCCGTCCATTCACGCGTCTTTATAGACTACAGATGTCCACAGAAAGGGGGAGCTGATGCAGCAACTGAAATGTGGCACTAAAGGTATATGGGGTATGGGGTAATTACCAGTAGTGAAAAATCGAATGGACAACAACATTGAAAATGACCTGGCAACTACAGGTGTCCAGAAGGTTAGATTCCACGAAACATGATGATCTTGCCAAGGAGCTTCTCCGTCTTCCTGCCAACACAGCAGCACACAAACAAATGCTTTGCCGAGCGAATGTGGACTGCCTCTGGCCCCTTGCGTGTCATGAAAAATGAGGAACGGTCGCACTCTTGAATTCGACATGAAGCCGCAAAGGGGCCGTTACATAGCCACTTATTTGCCCTGGTGGCAAAGCTTGAAGTGCCGGTGGGAAGCCATGACTGCCCCTCAACGTGCGCTTGGTATCCTACGCTATTCAATACCTGAAGATGAGGTTTCTACCGCTGAATGAATTAACTAGTGCCCTTGACACACCTCTTCTTGGGCATCCTTACACCCCAACAATAATGAATAGTTTTAAAAATCCTCGACAACAACCAAACCCGAAGATGCCAGCAGCACCTCCAACCTAGTTCGGCCAGGAAGGTAAGGCGCAAAGTCCAGTGCCAGCGAAAACCGGAGCAGGAACGAGTCGCTCCTAATGTTGTGGGCTCTATTTCAAGGGACCTGGAGGTAGAAAATTTAATCCATACCCACATTTCGTCGTAGGTTACCTAACCCAGTGGTATAGCACAAAGACATACACAGACAGTGTGGATCCTTTCAGTCCTTCCACTCGATAATCTTACATCAAGGTTTAGGGTTTAGGGTTTAGGGTTTAGGGGCACGCAACGGCCTCGAGCGCGGTTAAGAAAACACTAGTTCACAGGGGTACAATCTCTATTAAGCTTTCCTAATTGTTAAGGTTGCAAGGACGGGCATCTAGTATGCCCCTTAATCTTGGGGTCCTTGCAGACCTAGCCTATACCATTCAAAGCCCGCCGACCCAACTAAGTGCCCGTAGTCAGGACCCAGAAAACAAGTAGGGGTCCATACCAGGGCTTAGATAAGTTGTGACCATCTGCCGGGTTGGGGGTCTCAATTTTAAGGGACAGGAGGGGACCCTAAAGCTTCATCCCCATATCCTAAATCCTGAACCCTTAACCCTATCCTACACCCTCAACCCTATATCCTAAACCCTAATCCTGCATACAACTGGCCAAAAGTCCAATAGAATGAGAGCCAGCCATCATTGGGCATGCCCTTCTTGTGGTAGATGTCTACGCCTGCCAAGCCGTTAGGGTTTAGGATTTAGGGGGGTTGGGGGTTAGGGTTTAGGAGTTCGGGTTTAGGGTCGTTGTGGATGCTTCTTGAACCGAACATTTCTTGTCCCCAAATGGTCTTGGCCTTGATCAACTACGTCATGTGAGCTGTAGTCTAAACTCCTAGAATTCCCCTTAATGTCCCATATACTAGTCCCTTATGTAATCCCCAATATAGCTCACATAGGAAATTGTCCCCAAAGTACTGTGATCAATTACCATAGTTGGGGCTATGTAGGGTGGGTGTTTCCTCCACCAACAGCCAAAGCCCTGCAGATAGTTGCCAAATCCCCTGTTTCAAAAGCACGCGCTTACCGAAGGACTTGCAGCGCACTCTATACCAATGGATCTTATCCCACTTTCGACCCTATCCTGCCTGAGAATACTGATGCTCCCTCACTATAGTGGCACTAAACAGCAGTCCTGATTTGGAGAACCTCGCCGAAGCACTCAACAATCGTCCCCATAGCCCCTGCGCAACTCTAAGGGATGCCCATCATCAGCCAGAACGAATAGTCCCGTAATAGTGCCCCTTAAGTAGATAGAATATGGCTTCGGGTATATCATACTTTGATCCCCATATGCCCCATATTCTGTCTACCTAAGGGGGACTATATACCCCAAACCCGAAAGCCTAAATAGTAGATTCCATTTTCTTTTCCATTATCCCAAGATAACCCCCATATAACCCTATATGACCCCTGTATTCTATCTACTTAAGGGGGACTATATCCCTAACACCGGTACGTACCTGAGCAGCTACTGAGAAAAAGCCTTGGCAGCTCGCCAGGGCTGTGCAGGCCGCGAAGCCTCGCTGCAGATTCTGACCCTAAACCCTAAACCCTAAGCCCTAAGCCCTAAACCCTAGACCTTAAACCCTAAACCCTAAGTAGTTACATGGGGACCCAATTGGACCCAAAAAAGCTGCAGATGCTAAGCTTACCGGGACAAGGTCTATGCCACGAGGAAACCTTGCACCACCATTATCATCATAAAACATGTGTATTACATAGTCTAAACTCCTAGTATCCCCCTATATAGTCCTTATGTAAACCCCCTTTAGGGAGTTTAGACTATGTATACCCGTATGGCCGTATGACGGAATTGCACTCATTCGCGGCTCTTCCTGAAAGGTGCCAGATAGAAGCGCGCAACAGAATTTCTGCAGATTGTCACGCGTCTTCAAGGGCAAGTTCCGGGATTCTGCGTGCAAGGACTCGCAGGCCACGGATTTGGAAGTTGCCGGGACTACGGCATGAAAAGTACTGTCGTAACAGGGCCTGCGGCGACAAGGAAGTTCAAGCGTGGCCTCTTCAACTTCCGTTCGGGAACCTTCTGAGTGGTCTTTCTAATCGCTCGGCCCTCCTGAGCCTGGCCTCTAGACTGCGCGAATGGACCTAAACCAGTTTTCCAAACCAGGGACCAACCCCAAGAAACTCAACTGTTGACTGAACACGGGCGCAGGAGCGGTCTAAAGCGGCTGGAAAGCGTTGAGCCTCAGGCATCATGGCCCCTACACTTCCCCAAGCTGAAAGGGACAACAATCTACAAAGGTAATTTCGAGAGTAGTCTATATATACCCACACCCCCCCCCTATTTGCCCGCAGCATCTTCATGTTACGTGCGCATCCACGGTCATAGCATCCGTATAAATACTTCCACCACGGCACTACTACTGTTATTTACAACGAAACAAGATACTAGCAAATGCAT